TCGGTACTAGTCCCTCCAGAATTTTCCAGGTGTATATAATCATGTATCTCTCCTGCCTGCGTTCCAGGGAATACAGGTTCAGGAACTTCAAGCGCTCCCAGTGGTCAGTGGTCAGTCATCACTTGAGGTCACAGACCCTGAGCTGCTTTGGGGATTAGCGTGGATGGTTACAAAGCATGGCTTGCTTCTGCAGTGTTTTAAAAATTGAGGTTGAAGAGTTGAAGAGGAGGTCTTGCTTCTCCAGGAGGAGATTAGGAGGCTGAAGGTCCACCTCAATGGGTCTGGGAGAGAGTGTTAGGTGGCTGGAGTTGTGAGGAATGAGGCTTCTAGCAGTGAGGTGTAGTCTGTCTCTCGCTGTGAGGAGGCTGTAGGTAGGGAGGTAGCAACGGCTAACAGCAGTGAGGTGCAGCCCAGCACCTGCTACAAGTGGCGAGTGGTTCACAGTAATGGGAGGCGCATCAGAGTAAGGAAAGTAAAGAGTGAAGATCTGAAGGTAGGAAATCGCTTCTCTGTTCTTCAGGATGAATGTACTTCAGTGGCCAGTGAAGGTAAGGGTACTACTACCCCGTGCTAATGGAGGTAAGCGCATTCTTGTGGTTGGTGACTCTCAGGTAAGATATATTGACCGTGCTTTTTGTAATAGGAATAAGAAGATGAGAGATAGAGTGTGCTTCCCTGGAGCTGGTGTTGGGGACATAGTCAACACTCTGGATAATATCATGTCAGGTAATGGGAACAAGCCCATTATCTGTCTCAGTGCTGGTGGAAATGATATTGGGAAGGGTAGGAGAGAAGAGCTGCTAGATAAGTACAGGTCAGCTATAGATTTCATTAAGTCTAAGGGAGGGATCCCAATCATATGTAGCATCTTGCCTAGAAGGGGAGTAGGAAATGAATGGTTGTCTAGGGCAATTGGTGTAAATTGCTGGCTAGACAGATACGGCAAGGAACTTGCAATCCTATTCATTGACAACTGGAACAACTTTTATGGCAAACATGATATGTATGCAAGGGATGGGGTACATCTCTCTGGGGCTGGAGTGGTAGCACTTGCAGACTCGATTGAGAAGGCCATTGGTGAAATGCATATGATTTTAAACTGATGGAAGATAGAAGTATGGGTGTGTGTGGGAAACAAGCAGATTGCAACACTAGGGATGGAAACAGTAAATGTATATAAGGCATTCAGCATGAAGTTATAAATAAAAACAATAGATCAGGTCAGCAAACAAAGGGGGACAGCAGAGGGCAGCAAGGGACTAGCTCCTTTAAGGTTTACTATACTAATAGCAGGAGTGTAAAAAATAAGAGAGATGAGCTAAGATTAATTGCAAGTGCAGGAAACATAGATATTATTGCTGTAACAGAGACCTGGCTCAATCTGAAAGTTAGAGAGATGCCCTCTGAATGTCACATACAAGGCTATAAATTATTCCACACTGACAGGGTCAACAGGAAAGGTGGTGGAGTAGCGATGTATGTCACAGACAATTTAAATTGTTGTGTTAGACAAGATATAAAATTAGAAGCGTCAGCCACTGAATCTGTTTGGTTACAGCTTCTCGAGGGTCGAGAAAAACTAATTTTGGGTGTGATTTACAGGGCCCCAAATCTTGATAGGGAGTGCAGTAAACTTCTATGGGACGAAATTCGTAAGGCATCTACATACGAAAATGCTGTGCTAATGGGAGATTTCAACCATAGACAGATTGACTGGAGCAATTTGACAGGAAATTTAGAGTCAGGTGACTTTCTTGATACGATCCAGGATTGTTTTTTTAAAACAGTTTGTGACAGAGCCAACTAGAGGAAATAACCTCCTTGACTTGGTTCTTGCCAGTAGGGAAACACTAATTAATAATCTTGAGGTTAATGATGAGCTTGGGGAAAGTGATCACAAATCACTCAGTTTTAATATATCATGGAATTCCCCTAATAATGGCAATCAAGTCTCCGTCCCTGACTTCCGCTTGGCTGATTTCATAGGACTGAAAAATTACTTAGGTGGGCTGAACTGGAATGACCTGACTAAGGGTCAGGTAGGTGGTGATGGTTGCCGATATGACGCTTTCCAGGGCATAGTTCTAGCTGCTAAGCCAAATTATGTTCCAAATAGGGAAATCAGATCAAACAAAAATGATCCTAAATGGATGAACAATAGATTAAAATATCTAATTGGTCAAAAGAGAGGCATATATAGGCAAATCAAAAGAGGAGAGGGGCAATTAAGAAATCGATATATTCAGTTAAAGAGAGAAAAAAAAAAGGAATTAGAAAAGCAAAAAGAGATTATGAGGTTAAAGTTGCAAGAGAATCGAAGACTAACCCAAAAGGATTCTTTCAGGTATACAGAAGTAAGATCAGGGACAAGATAGGCCCACTCAAAAGTTCCTCGGGTCAGCTCACTGACAGTGATAAGGAAATGTGTAGAAGTTTTAACAAATACGTCCTCTCAGTTTTTACACAGGAGGATACCAGCGATATTCCAGAAATGATAAATTATGTGGAACAGGACGACAATAAACTATGCACGATTAGGGTCACAAGTGACATGGTCCTTAGGCAAATAGATAAATTAAAACCAAACAAATCCCCAGGCCCTGATGAACCGTATGCAAGGGTTCTAAAGGAATGTAAAGAGGAGCTTAGCAAACCTTTGGCTAATCTTTTCAACATATCACTACAAACTGGCATGGTGCCAGATAAGCGGAAAATGGCAAATGTGATACCTATTTTCAAAGCAGGTGACAGGTCCTTAGCTTCGAACTATAGACCAATAAGCCTAACCTCCATAGTGGGAAAATTTATGGAATCAACAATTTCCGAGGCAGTTCGTAGCCACCTTGAAAAGCATATTAATCAACGAATCTCAGCATGGTTTTACAAAGGGGCGTTCCTGCCTTACGAATTTATTAACTTTTTTCACTAAGGTATTTGAGGAGGTAGATCATGGTAATGAATATGATATTGTGTATATGGACTTCAGTAAGGCTTTTGACAGGGTCCCACATCAGAGACTATTGAGGAAAATTAAGGCACATGGAAAAGGAGAAATTTTTTTTCCTGGATAGAGGCATGACTGACAAACAGGCAGCAGAGAGTTTGCATAAATGGGGAGAAATCAGAGTGGGGAAGCGTCATGAGCGGTGTTCCACAGGGGTCAGTGTTGGGCCCCCTGCTGTTCACAATATACATAAACGACATAGATGAGGGCATAAAGAGCGACATCAGCAAGTTTGCCGATGACACCAAAATAGGCCGTCGAATTCATTCTGATGAGGACATTAGAGCACTCCAGGAAGATTTGAGTAGACTGATGCAGTGGTCGGAGAGGTGGCAGATGCAGTTTAATATAGACAAATGCAAAGTTCTAAATGTTGGACAGGACAATAACCATGCCACATATAAACTAAATAATGTAGATCTTAACATTACGGATTGCGAAAAAGATTTAGGAGTTCTGGTTAGCAGTAATCTGAAACCAAGACAACAGTGCATAAGTGTTTGCAATAAAGCTAATAGAATCCTTGGCTTCATATCAAGAAGCATAAATAATAGGAGTCCTCAGGTTGTTCTTCAACTCTATACATCCTTGGCTAGGCCTCATTTAGATTATGCTGCACAGTTTTGGTCACCGTATTACAGAATGGATATAAATTCTCTTGAAAATATACAAAGGAGGATGTCAAAGTTGATCCCATGTATTAGAAACCTTCCCTATGAGGATAGACTAAGGGCCCTGAATCTGCACTCTCTAGAAAGACGTAGAATTAGGGGGGATATGATTGAGGTGTATAAATGGAAGACAAGAATAAATAAAGGGGATGTAAATAGTGTGCTGAAAATATCTAGCCTAGACAGGACTCGCAGCAATGGTTTTAAGTTAGAAAAATTCAGATTCAGGAAGGATATAGGAAAGTACTGGTTTGGTAATAGAGCTGTGGATGAGTGGAACAAACTCCCAAGTACAGTCATAGAGGCCAGAACGTTGTGTAGCTTTAAAAATAGGTTGGATAAATACATGAGTGGGTGTGGGTGGGTATGAGTTGGACCTGATTAGTTTGTGCTACCAGGACTGTTGCCGTGTTCCTCCCTTGAGTCAAGGTGACCTGACCTGACTAGGTTGGGTGCATTGGCTTAAGCCGGTAGGAGACTTGGACCTGCCTAGCATGGGCCAGTAGGCCTGCTGCAGTGTTCCTTCGTTCTTATGTTCTTATGAGGTGTTTTATCTCCCTTATGCGTTCCGTGAAGGTTCTCTGTACATTTTCTAGGTCAGCAATTTCACCTGCCTTGAAAGGCGCTGTTAGTGTTCAGCAATATTCCAGCCTAGATAGAACAAGCGACCTAAAGAGTGTCATCATGGGCTTGGCATCACTAGTTTTGAAGGTTCTCATTATCCTATCTACTACACAAAGGTCATAATTTATTGAGCTTAAAGCCTATCTACTACACAATTCATGATCGATTTATTGGGCTTAAAGCCTATCTACTACACAAGTCATAATTGCTTCATTGGGTTTAAAACCTATCTACTATACACAGTCATAATTTATTGAGCTTAAAGCCTATCTACTTCACGAACGTCATGATTTGCTTGGTTTAATAATCAAAAAGCACTAAACCCACTAGGGTATTGGGTTTAAAGCCTTTTTACTACACGGTCATTAAGGCTGCATGTAACCTATGCACCACCTGTCAAGAATACTTTTAAAACCTAAAATATTAACCAAAGTCCAGTAATACTGAACAGGTGTTCAGCTTTAAATCATCTCAAAATTGCTAAGAAGTTCCTAAATAAATTTTTAAAAAATATAATCATAACTAATAACTAAACCCAACGGGTCATACATAACCATAAAGCGCTAAAACTAAAAGGGTCATACATTATAACCATAAAGAAGCGCTAAACCTACAAGGGTCATACACCGTTAGGATCTCAAAGGGTCAACACCCCTCCCCCCCCCCCCAAAAAAAAAAAGCTTTTGGAAAATATGAACAAATTTAACTTGCATCAACTTAAAACATGGCAACTGCAAAAAATTATAATATCAACTTTAAATCAGTTTAAAATAATGAACATTAAAATCAGTAATTACAAAAAAACCTACATATGCTATGACATTTAAATCTTAGTTTACTAGAATAATTCAACAAGGCATCCACCATATTCACGTATCCATGGCAACAAAGTCCATATATAAAACGCTGGATAATAAATTAATGTTTCAGCGAATAATAATTTCAATTAAAATTTATAGTAGTGATATAAGTGGTAGTGATAAATGGCAAGGTCATAAAAGTGGTAAAATAACGTAAGTGGTAGACAAATGGTAAAGGGATAAGTAATAACTGATCACTTATAAATGAAAGTGACAAGCGTTACCACTTACCATAAAGGCTAACAGTTACTGCTGAACTCGTCTGCTTCAACTGGAATAAAAATAATTTCACAGAATTACTACTACAGATTGTATATACATACTGTTTATATTACTATATAAATCCACTAATTATAAATAACCAATAATTTAGGAGAAATAAAGGAAAATATGTCTTACCAGAGGAGCGCGCGCCCTCACTCCTCCCACGCATGACTTGAGGCGTAAAATACGCGGGCTACCGCACTACCAGACTGTGACGTAGTAATCTGAGCGCTCTCATTGGCTGATTAAGTGACGTCACGACTGCTGGGTCTAGGCGCTCAAGCCCGTGACGTCAGGCTAAATCTACGCTGTAATTGGCTGTTGCTTCCCGCCAACTTAGCAATTTGCTTTGTGTGTGCTGGTGATGGACTCTTGATCCAAGGATTTGCAGCAACCTTACCCTAATAAAACCAAATAAAACATTTATAATGTAGAAATATCCCAAAATAAGTGAGAAAATATTTTGTATATTTTGTATACTCAATGCACACATACAGAGAACAAGTGTATATACATTATATACACATTGATATGCTATATATACACACATTTCAAGTTTACATCAATCCCCACAACCCCTGGGGAATGGAATATATCCCCCGCAGAGCCCGAGGAATGGAATATATCCCCCGCAGAGCCCGAGGAATGGAATATATCCCCCGCAGAGCCCGAGGAATGGAATATATCCCCCGTAGAGCCTGGGAAATGGAATATATCCCCCATAGCCCCTGGGGAGTGGAATTATCCCCCATAGCCTGGGGAATGGAATATATTCATTACTGGAAATGGTGGCTCAGATTCATTGGATCAAGATCCTCCCACCGTGGCCATGGTCCAGAAAATTTAAAATAAACGATCACTTAAGTGGTAGTGAATGGTAAAGTGACAAGTTACAACCGATCATAAACGATCACTTGTAAGGGGTAAAATGACAAATTACAACTTAACACTTACCAATTAGTGGTAATGACAAAGTTACAACCAATTACTTACAACTGGTAGTGACATACCAATTATTAGAGGTAAAGTGGCAAGTTACAACCACTTATGTAAGTGGTACGTGACAATTGACAACCACTTACGTAGACATAAGTTACTATATTTTACAAAATTATTACTTCAGATATATTTACTTTATATAACCATGTAAAAGCATTATTTAATGTAAACGACCAGTAATTTTGAAGAAATGAGGATAAAATTCTAACCAGAGTGCGCCCCCCCCCATCCCCGCCACTATCTCCCGTGCATGACTGAGGCGCCAGTTTTCGCACCACCACCAGTCACGTAGGAACCGCTGAAGTGATTGGCTGATCGACAGTGACGTATGTTTGGCCAAGTGACGTCACGATTACTGACTGGCTGCTGGGTCTTGGCGCTCGAACCCGTGACGTCATAGGTTAACTCGAGACTAATTGGCTGCTGCTTCCCGCCAACTTTGTATTTGGCTGTGGCCAGGACATTCTGACGAGCTCTTGATCCAAGGATTTGGAGCACCCTCCCAATAAAAGCAATTATGTAGAAATAGTCCAGAAATGAGAAAATATTCTGAATCTCAATGTATATACACCGAGTATATACATTGTATATACTCGGTGTGTATACATTGTGTATATATATATATATATATATATATATATATATATATAATATATACAATGTATATATATATATATACAATGTGTATATATATATATACAATGTATATATATATATACAATGTATATATATATATACAATGTATATATATATATACAATGTATATATATATATACAATGTATATATATATATATACAATGTATATATATATATACAATGTATATATATATATACAATGTATATATATATATACAATGTATATATATATATACAATGTATATATATATATACAATGTATATATATATATATACAATGTATATATATATATATACAATGTATATATATATATATACAATGTATATATATATATACAATGTATATATATATATACAATGTATATATATATAATGTATATATATATACACAATGTATATATATATACACAATGTATATATATATACACAATGTATATATATACACACAATGTATATATATATATACACAATGTAATATATATATATATATATATATATATATATATATATATATATATATATTATATATATATACAATGTATATATATATACAATGTATATATATATACAATGTATATACACCGAGTATATATACATGTATATATATAAACATTTCAAGTGTATATATACACTTGACCCACGCGTGGTTAAGTTTTGAAACTCATTAATCATTTGGGGGGCTGAGTGACCTGGCTTTGCGCTTCCTAGAGCGGATTTCACACATTGGCGCCAAGAACGCGACTTAATGGCGCCAACTGAGCGCACATGCTGTGCCGTGGCATTTACGGTAAAGCGCTAAACCCGTAGGGGGGTCATACAGTGCCTGGGGAATGGAAGTCACTACTGGAAATAGTGGTTCAGATTCCTTGGATCAAGATCCTGCCCGTCAAGGTGATATTAAAGGGCACTTCCAGAATATATAAACTAACGACCACTTACGTAAGTGATAGTGTAAAAGGTACAATTATAATTGACCACATACAAGTGGTATTGTGATGCCATACTAAATTACCACTTAATTGGTGGTGACAAATTACAAGACCATAAACGACCACTTATAAGTGACATTAGTGAAGTGGCAAGTTACAACCATAAACGACAAAGTGGTAAAACGACAAACGTTACTACCCACCACTTACAATTTGTAGACAATTTACCATTTAGTGCTAGTGACAACTTATATAAGTGGTGCATGACAATTTACAACCACTTAAGTGGTGACATTAAAAGTTACTTACCATATTTTGCAGTATTACTACTTCAGATATACACACACTTTATATTACCATGTAAAAACTATGTAAATGACGAGTAATTTACGAGAAATATGGGAAAAATTCTTACCAGAGGAGCGCACGCCATCTCCCGCGCATGACTGGAGGCAAGTTTACCGCCCCACCACCACTGTGCGCTTTGATTGGCTCAAGTGAAATCACGACTGCTGATTGGCTGCTGGGCTTTGGCGCTCGAACCCGTGACGTCATAGGTTAAATCTAGGCTGTAATTGGCTTCTGTTTTCCGCCAACTTAGTAACTCTCGTTTTCATTGGCTGTGGCCAGAGCGGTGACATGCATACACCTGGCAGGTGATGGGCTCTTGATCCAAGGATTTGGAGCAATCTCCCCCTAATAAAAATAAATATATTTATGTAGAAATAGCCTAGAATAAGAAAATATTTTATATGATTAATAGCTTAATGGTCCTAACATGTATTATAAACATTGGCGCTAATTTATCGGCGCACATTACTGCGCCACTATAAGTGTTACAGGGGCGTTACTCTAAACCACTTAAGTGATAGTGACAACTTACCACTTAGTAGTGACATAAGTTAAACTTTCTTCTTGTATGTGGTAAAGTGACAAGTTACAACTCACAAGTGGTGGTGACAATTTACACTAAACGACCTCATATTAATGCTTCAATCCATCATAAACCAGCACTTATAAATGGTAGTGACGTAATAAATGGTGACAAGTGCAACTTACATAAGTGACCATATAATATAGTTAGCACTTACCATATAAAGTTAGCTGCTGAACTTAGTTTCAACAAATTTATTGGAACAAAAATCAATAATTGCACAATTACTTTAAAAGATATATATACTGTTTATATGACCATGTAAAAACATTAGTTAATGAAAACAACCAGTAATTTAGGCGATATAAAGGAAAAATGCTTACCAGAGGAGCGAGCACCCTCACGTCATCGTCTCCCACGCATGACTGAGGCGCAAGTTTACACGTGGACTTCTGCATCACCACCAGACTGTGACGTAGGAGCCTCTGAGCACTTTCATTGGCTGATCAACCATGATGTATACAACCTCAACAATGACGTCACAACTCTAGATTGGGGAACTGACGTGTTCCTTCAGCAACTCCTTTATCAAAGTTTCCAGATTCATATTCAATGGGGTATATTTCCTTTAAAATCGTGTTATGCTTGACTTAACTGACACCTCAAGGGAAGTTCCTTGATGCTGGGGAGGGGATCTTGATCTAGGGAATTGGATCTGTGTTCCGGTTCCTTGAATTGAACCTGAATACCTTCCATCCCCCCTCCAAGTGCGCTGTATAATCCTACGGGTTTAGCTCTCCCCCATACTTATCATTATAATTTACTCACCTGATTATTATGTAGTATTTTATAACGAATCCTCCACCTCCTCCAAAAAATGCACATATTTTTTCACTCACACGTTCACTTTAACACTTAACATCCAGGTTATCGTAGTGTCCGTGTAAAAATTTTTGTAATTATCTCACATCCGCTTATCAAATTCAAAGTTTATTCTCTATAAGGATTACAATGCTGAGTTTACAGAAATTTGGTTATTGTTTGGTTTAACATGTAGTAAAAGACTGGTTATAAATGACCATAATTTTTAAAGGGGTGGACCGGTAAGCCAGCGGAAGGCCTCGGTCAGATGACCAAAAGCTCCAAAGGCGGGCCATCATCTGACTAAGACCCGCGTCAGGAAACATTTGTCCTGTTTCCTGACGAACCTTACCTAACCTAACCATGTAGTAAAATTGAGGTTACAGAGTGTACCACTAGAACGCTTAGCATGGCTAGGCATTTCGGGCATACTTAGTTTTATTCTTAAATGTAAAATATTACAAATTATGAGATCTTTATTGAAGCCTAAAGGTTTATTTCCCTCGACTTTGAGTTTATCTTGAAGTAGTCAGGAAGCCTTCCATTTTCTCCTAGCCTAAATTTTAATCCAACAAACCCTTGTCAGAGATGTTTTTCACTCGCTAAACGATGTTACAAAGGGATTCCCGTACTGCATAACCACTTACCTGTACATTAATACACGAGATTAGAATATTGGTGATGGAGTTAAGTTTATAATTGCAGTTAATTATCTGCTTTGAAGATTTGGAGTCAAAATGGCTGCAAATGTTATTCTATGGATATTAAAACTCCAATTTCTTCAGTACAACTGAAAAATTAGGATATATAGAACGAAAATCTAATTGAAATCTTCTGTTAAAAAATATTTTTGAAGCTAGGCTAAACATGCATTGCCTTATTATCTTTGAGACTTGCATCTGAAAAATAAGATGGTTAAACTTATTTAATTTAGAAACAACTAAGATAATGCATTTTTTATTTAAATTTTATTAAAAATTCTCTACCATCCTATGAAAAATACTTTATTTTTTTTAAGAAAATAAAATTTAAAAATTTGTTTTAAAAACAGGTATATTAGCACTTGCACTACACAGAATCAATGCAAAAATATATCGGAAAAAGTTTACTGCAAGTCTGGTTGTATTGACTCCGGTATTTTTTTCCAAGTTTGTTCACTCTGGTATTTTCCTTTTGCGGTTTCCAATAGGAGCCGTTTCAAATTCAATTTTTTTTTTAATTTGTCCTGGTTTGTCAGGATTGTGTATGTCCTTTTTGTGTGTGCAAGTGTTTGTTCGTGTGTGTACTCACCTAGTTGAGGTTGCGGGGGTCGAGTCCGAGCTCCTGGCCCCGCCTCTTCACTGATCGCTACTAAGTCACTCTCCCTGAGCCGTGAGCTTTATCATACCTCTGCTTAAAGCTATGTATGGATCCTGCCTCCACTACATCGCTTCCCAAACTATTCCACTTACTGACTACTCTGTGGCTGAAGAAATACTTCCTAACATCCCTGTGATTCATCTGTGTGTGTGTGCGTGTGCGTGTGCGTGTGTGTGTGTGTGTGTGTGTGTGTGTGTGTGTGTGTGTGTGTGTGTGTGTGTGTGTGTGTGGTGTGATTGTGTTTGTGCATGCACGGCAGGAAGCCGGCAGAGTGTCCATTTGGACCGTTTATGGTTCAATGAATTCTTAACGGGTGTGGCGGAAGAGTGTGGAGATACCACAGCCTCTGCTTGCTCAAACTGGTTTGGTTGGCCAGAGATAAAGACCAAACAGCTGCACAACAACAAAAAAAAAATTTCCAGTTAACTTACTGACAGTCACTGTTGTTTTTAATCATATCCTGCCATATACAGAATGTTTTCAAGTGCACAATTTTGGCAGTGATGGGAAAATACGTGCTATCAGTAGACACATTATATATTGCAATAGTGTTGACCGTAGAGATACAACAATTTCGATGAATATGGAACAAATATATAAAACTGTTTCAACTTAGTGATGTGTTTGCAAATTTGTGCCTAAAAATGTCTGAATTCTCTGAAGTTTTATTCCCAGGCTGATAATTACTGCCTGAATGTCTTATCTGGTAAACAAATTGGTGGAACCACTGCTGTTTTTATTCTAAATTTGAACTTTCTTCCTTATTTCATTTCTCATCTTATTGTGGAAATATTTACTTATTTGCTAATGAGGAAAATGATAATTGATGATTTTTATGAGAAAGACATTAAAGTGGAATAATTAAAAGATAAAGTACAGGGAGAATCAGAAAAGAAGCAACAGGAATGAAGAAAGTTATAAAGAAAATATAGAGAAACAATGTTAGAAGCAGAGATAAAACCAGGGATAACAGCAGATAACAGCAGAGATTAGAGCAGGGATAACAGAAATAAAAGCAGGGATAACAGCAGATAACAGCAGAGATTAGAGCAGGGATAACAGAGATAAAAGCAGGGATAGCAGCAGATAACAGCAGAGATTAGAGCAGGGATAACAGAGATAAAAGCAGGGATAACAGCAGAGATAAAACCAGGGATAACAGCAGATAACAGCAGAGATTAGAGCAGGGATAACAGAGATAAAAGCAGGGATAACAGCAGAGATAAAAGCAGGGATAACAGCAGATAAAAGCAGGGATAACAGTAGATAAAAGCAGGGATTACAGCAGAGATTAGAGCAGGGATAACAGAGATAAAAGCAGGGATAACAGCAGAGATAAAAGCAGGGATAACAGCAGAGATAAAAGAAGGGATAACAGCAGAGATAAAATCAGGGATAACAGCAGAGATAAAAGCAGGGATAACAGCAGAGATAAAAGCAGGCATAACAGTAGAGATAAAAGCAGGGATAACAGTAGAGATAAAAGCAGGGATAACAGTAGAGATAAAAGCAGGGATAACAGTAGAGATAAAAGCAGGGATAACAGCAGAGATTAAAGCAGGGATAACAGCATAGATAAAAGCAGGGATAAAAGCAGAGATAAAAGCAGGGATAACAGCATAGATAAAAGGGATAACAGCAGAGGTAAAAGCAGGGATAACAGCAGAGATAAAAGCAGGGATAACAGCAGAGAGAAAAGCAGGGGCAACAGCATAGATAAAAACAAGGATAACAGAAGAGATAAAAACAGGGATAACAGCAGAGATAAAAACAGGGATAACAGCAGAGATAAAAACAGGGATAACAGCAGAGATAAAAACAGGGATAACAGCAGAGATAAAAGCAGGGATAACATCAGAGATAAAAGCAGGGGCAACAGCAGTGAAATACCTAGAGATGGAAGCAGACAGAAGTAAAGACAGAAACAAAGATTGAAGCAGGGTTGAAAGCAAATATATAAGCAGGGACAGAACCAGAGGAAGAAACAGAGGGAATCACAAACACTTGAAGCGTAATTTTGAGATAAATCTTAACGTTCAATCATGAATATGAGCAAAGATGGAAGAATAAGAATGAAAAGAGTAGCAGAGGTACAAGCAGATACAAAAGCAGAGACAAGTAGAGACAGCCGCGAAGACAATAGTACCGATAAAAGCAGACAAAGAAAATTACAAGCGAATATAAAGATAGAGGATTGAAGGATATCTCAAACAAACAAAAAAACAAGAGATAAAGCAGATGAAGCAGAAATGAAGAGGATGCAGCAGCAGACAGCAGTAATGATACTATGTGAGCGGAGAGAATACTAGAAAGAAGATTAAAATTGAAACATATACATATAAACGGTGAGTAAACAGAAGAATGGAGGAACGCTGGAACCGTGGTCATGACTGGTAGCAGGAACAGTACCAGTGGGCTACGAGGAACGCTGGAACCGTGGTCCTGACTGGTAGCAGGAACAGTACCAGTGGGCTACGAGGAACGCTGGAACCGTGGTACTGACTGGTAGCAGGAACAGTGCCAGTGGGTTTCGAGGAACGCTGGAACCGTGGTACTGACTGGTAGCAGGAACAGTACCAGTGGGCTACGAGGAACGCTGGAACCGTGGTCCTGACTGGTAGCAGGAACAGTGCCAGTGGGCTATGAGGAACGCTGGAACCGTGGTATTGACTGGTAGCAGGAACAGTGCCAGTGGGCTACGAGGAACGCTGGAACGGTGGTCCTGACTGGTAGCAGGAACAGTACCAGTGGGCTACGAGGAACGCTGGAACCGTGGTACTGACTGGTAGCAGGAACAGTACCAGTGGGCTACGAGGAACGCTGGAACCGTGGTCCTGACTGGTAGCAGGAACAGTACCAGTGGGCTACGAGGAACGCTGGAACCGTGGTCCTGACTGGTAGCAGGAACAGTACCAGTGGGCTACGAGGAACGCTGGAACCGTGGTCCTGACTGGTCAGGTTCACTTGTTCAGAGAAGATGAGGAAAAAGATTTGCTGCACTTATAACATTTATTTTCAAAATCACTTATTATCATTTGATAATTATAGTTATTTTGCGATTCTTGAGGAACCATTAAACCTGTAGAGATTTTACAGCTCTAGGGAAGAGGAGCCAATCACGTTTGTTCCAGGGAAGAGGAATGTAGTTCTAATTCTTTTTCTCAAAAGGCCGTTTTCTGCCTGATCGATCTCCAAATTGCG